GGCGCGACCCCCCGCTACCTCGTCGCGAGCCACCCGCGCACCCTCTCTCCGAGCCCTCGGGCAGGCGCCTCGGTCGAGACCTACCTGCTGACGCTATCTCCCCACATCTCCCCACATCTCCCCGTATCTCCCATCTCCCGCAGGCGCCTCGGTCGAGACCTACCTGCTCGAGCGCTCCCGCGTGACGCGGCAGGCCGACGAGACCCCGCCTGCCCCTCCCCCTCCCTGCCCCTCTCCCCACCTCTCCCTCTCCACCCTCTCCCCCACTCCGCCTCCTCCCCCTCTCTCTCAACCCCCCCCTTCACCCCTCGTCTCTCCCCCCGCGCCACGCGCCAGGCCGAGGGAGAGCGCAACTACCACATCTTCTACCAGCTCCTCGCTGGCGCCTCTGCCGCCGAGCGGCAGCGCTGGCGCCTCCTGCCCGCCGCCTCGGCGCCGTGAACGGCCGGCGGACTGGCGCGAGGTGCGGGCCGCGGCCTCTTCACAGCCGCGGCCGTGAACAGGCGCCGTATGTCTCCGGCTGCGTCTCTGTTCCCACACTCGACGATGCGGCCGGCTACGCCGAGTTTTGCGAGGCGCTCGGCACCTTTGACGCGAAGGCTCCGGGATGCAGCCGAGATACAGCCGAGAGGCAGCCGAGAGGCAGCCGGGAGGCAGCCGGGAGGCAGCCGGGGGGCAGCCGGGGGGCAGCCGGGGGGCAGCCGGGGGGGCAGCCGGGGGGGCAGCCGGGGGGGCAGCCGGGGGGGCAGCCGAGATCTGCAGAGTTGTGCGACGCGCTTGGCACTACAGCTCGCCGCGGAGACGCTCCGCGTGGGCGGCAGGGGAGCTTGCTGCGTGGGCCCACCGGGGCCCTTTGCTGTGTGTGTCTCGCGCCTTGCGGGGAGGAGGGGGGGGGGGGGGGGGTAAAACCCCACTCTTGGAGCGCCCCCGCCACCTCTCAAAAAGCGCCGTGCGGGGACGGTTCACCGCCCACCCCACGGGCCCCTCGGGGGCACTGGCTGCGGATCCCTGCGAGGAGCCGTTCCCCCCCCGTACACTCCTCAAGCAGAGGAGCCCGAGGG